AACCTGAGGATCGGAGTTAGATTCCCGGCCATGGAGATAGCAGGTTAACAAGGTGGTGAAGATAACAGTTTAATAAGGTGGTAAAGTATGGTCAAACAGATCCCCATGACTGACATAGGGTGGATAAGCTTTCATCCAACAGTAGATTGACAGATCCTTAAAAAAGGTATACCACAATACAAGGACACTCAATATACACATTTGTAAATAATTCATAAAAATGACTCCATTTACACAATAGAGTATCTGCATAAAGAATGTTATGGATTTTCTTTTTTTAAGTCTTACTTTACCCATTATAATTACGCCCCACTGTTCGGCAAATAATAAGTACTGCTGATGATCAGAGATTAGCCTAAAGCAGTGCCTGGCCCAAATTGAGTGAGCGCTTGAGATCACAGAGAGAGCGAAACACTCCACTGAATACATAACGAGAGGTGGGAGACATTTCCCAAGCAATGTCAGAAACATAGTAATTCAAAGTATTAATTAGTACCGTGTATATATTGATATTTAATTTTAAAAAACACACATGCATGTGCTATTTTGGGTTTTGGCATTTAAATGTATCATGTTTCACATAGCATAGACATACATTATATATGTACACATTTATCATATTCAGTATCTGTTGTGTACGTTATCTTTGGTATGGCTTTTGGTCAATTCTCAAAGCTAAGCAAATCGCTTTATTACCATCAAAAATACAAGGCACTGTTTCCATACAATTTCCATGCGATTGATAGACTGATAGACATTTATAGATCTAATGATAAACATATGTACAAAGCCTCATCTTTATATAATGCTGTATTCATATAACAGCTATTGGGCCTTACTATTTGGAATAATGAATTCAGAAATGTTCACGTGTTGTGTTTTTAATCCGTTGCCAAACGAGTGTGTCCACCTCACACTGTGTATATCAATATAAATGTGCATTTACTGTGTACTGCCTTACCTGGTAAAATAATATAAATAGGTGATGGTTTAATAGTTTTTTAAAAGCTCCATCTTCATGCCCTGATTTTTTCAACATAATTCCTCCCACTTGGCAAAGTCATCGCGAGTTTTGACATTTGATCATTATTGCTTTGCTGATGACAAGCAGTTCTACATTGACACAGACTCCACAAACCCAACTTCACTGTCCACTCTCACATTCTACCTCAGCACAATTCTCAAATTGCATTCGTTCTAACTTCTTCCAGATGTTCTTTCGTACTTTCGTTTCTCAATCCGCTTGTCCTAGTGATGGTCACGACTTCCTCCAGATGTTTTTTTTTGCCAAATAGGGCTCTCTCAGTTAAGAATCCGGTGGCAAAGATAGACAGAGGTACATGAACATGACAGAGAGACGGACACGGAGAGAGAAATACCAATAATTGTGAGGGCTTCTCAATAAGTGGAGCTCTGTGTAGTAGAACACTAACTATATGTGCACCACACTGGTTTTCCAACTGAAATTCACAAGAGACCCCATAACGTACCGTGGTTTCGCTCTGCAAGATCGGTTTCCGTGGCCGACACACCGTCCCATCAATACATTGTGGTGCACTCTCATTATTGACTCAGTGTGAAAGGGTCAATAGGCACTGTTGAAAAAAATGTTTTCCACCCACCTGAACTGAACGACTTTGTGTACATGTACATCCACTTTGTCAATCCACTGCTGGATAAGGCTTCCTAGTGTCGTGTTGGGGGGGGGGGGTTTATTGGTCGTGGGGGATGTTTGACCGACGTTTCAGCGACCATACTTCATCACCCTGGTCATTTCCGGTTCGTGTTGGCAGATAGTATGTACGTACACTGAAACAGCGAATCTTGCTTGCACCACCCTCTGCTGCTGCTGACAAAAATCCAAAATGTACATGAAATATTGCTCCAACTAAAATCGCAAGGTATTCATGCACGTGTCTTTAGCTGTATCTGCATTGTTATTATTTATCATATCAACCACATTACTTGATATCAACCATTCAGTCTGACAACCCCTCGGGCACGGCGTGACTCATATTTGGGCTGCATTTTTTAACGTGTGGAAACGATGTCATCGAACATCCTGCATTTGTCATGCTGTGCTCGAGGGAATGAGATAAATCACAGAGCTTGCCTATTCCCTGGTTAGTCGCACAATGGAGCAGAACTCAACTCTCTTAATTTGCAGGACGCATGCAGTGGTGGTGGGAGTCTATTGGCGGTTGGTGAGCGGGGCGGTGTGGGGCCTAAAGCAGAAATTATTTCTTGGGAGGAGGCTCCCCTCTCATTCTATAAAACCCGAGTGAGATGACAGAAGGTATACAGATACACATATATGGTTGAGAAATATAGACGCGGTGAGATGAAATAAATTATGGGCACGAGAAGAGATGCAATGAGATGATAAAATAGAGATGCTGGCGAGATAGAGATGACAGAGCTCAGTAGGCTGTTTATGGTCATTCGCTTATGTTTATTGGGATTTACATTTTTCGCTGATATTTAATTAAGCTGGGGCCCCGTTCGCTGCTTGGGGTCCTAAGCTTGTGCTTAGTTCACGCCGCCACTGCCGACGTGGGACCGTGGCCATACTCTCAGAGCAATCAGCAATTCGCACGGTATCCTCACGCTCGCTTAAACACAGGCGGCGAAGCTAACGGACAGGTGTTTGAGTAATGATTCACGTCGTGAATGAATGCACGCCTTCTTGAATGTGGTGTATAAACGATGTGCGTGTGAACACGCCATTCTATAGCGAAAGGAACACATGCTTTTCAATAGGATCTCACCCTTTATGTGTTGAACCAGTTGAGAAACCATATGTATGCATGTTGAACTTCTTTCGCACCGTACCTAGCCAACCGTGCTAATCGTAGGTGCGGTAGGCAGGACAACAAACTAAACACAAAACGCAGTTCTAAAGACGTGAGTTTACAATCTAGTTTGCAAAAGTGCATCGCTCCACTGGCTTCCTAATATCGGAAGAGCGTTCCAGACGGCCGCAGATGCAGCGCATCTGAAAGCGCGCGATGTGGTGTGCGTCTTTGTTCGATGCTGCGAGGATGACCGTGATAGTTTGCGTGATGATGGTTTACGCTCCTTGACGAGATCAGCAAGGCATTGTGGTTCATTTGCTGCAAGAACGTTGTGTGCCTAAAAAAGTGCGACCTTACAGTGAGGGAATAAAGTATTTGATCCCCTGCTGATTTTGTACATTTGCCCACTGGCAAATAAATTATCAGTCTATAATTTTAATGGTAGGTTTATTTGAACAATGAGAGACAGAATAACAACAAGACAGCTGGGACCATAGTCACCAAGAAAACAATTGTTAACACACTACGCCGTGAAGGACTGAAATCCTGCAGCACCCACAAGGTCCCCCTGCTCAAGAAAGCACATATACATGTCCGTCTGAAGTTTGCCAATGAACATCTGAATGATTCAGAGGACAACTGGGTGAAAGTTTTGTGGTCAGATGAGACCAAAATGGAGCTCTTTGTTATCAACTCAACTCGCCGTGTTTGGAGGAGGAGGAATGCTGCCTATGACCCCAAGAACACCATCCCCACCGTCAAACATGGAGGTGGAAACATTATGCTTTGTGGGTGTTTTTCTGCTAAGGGGACAGGACAACTTCACCGCATCAAAGGGACGATGGACGGGGCCATGTACCGTCAAATCTTGGGTGAGAACCTCCTTCCCTCAGCCAGGGCATTGAAAATGTGTCGTAGATGGGTATCCCAGCATGACAATGACCCAAAACACACGGCCAAGGCAACAAAGGAGTGGCTCAAGAAGAAGCACATTAAGGTCCTGGAGTGGCCTAGCCAGTCTCCAGACCTTAATCCCATAGAAAATCTGTGGAGGGATCTGAAGGTTCGAGTTGCCAAACGTCAGCCTAGAAACCTTAATGACTTGGAGAAGATATGCAAAGAGGAGTGGGACAAAATCCCTCCTGAGATGTGTGCAAACCTGGTGGCCAACTACAAGAAACGTCTGACCTCTGTGATTGCCAACAAGGGTTTTGCCACCAAGTACTAAGTCATATTTTGCAGAGGGGTGAAATACGTATTTCCCTCATTAAAATTAAAATCAATTCATAACATTTTTGACATGCGTTTTTCTGGATTTTTGTTGTTGTTACTCTGTCTCTCACTGTTCAAATAAACCTACCATTAAAATTATAGACTGATAATTTATTTGTCAGTGGGCAAACGTACAAAATCAGCAGGGGATCAAATACTTTTTTCCCTCACTGTATGTGCTTCTCTTGTAAAGGAGATCTCGGTGAAAAGGACAAAACATTAATTTAAAGTCTTGTATAGAAACTTTCGCGACTGCAGGATTTCATACGCTTAGCTTCTTTCGATAAAGTCACGTAGATAGCAAAATAAATCAAGAATTACGAATACACAATAAATAAGTAATGAGAAAAATATTTTGTATTTATTTCCCTACGTGACTTTATCGAAAGAACCTAAGAGTATTCATTTAAAGTGTTTCACAATGCATGTGTATTAACACATTGAGTCGAAGGTATATTAAGAATGTATATACTATACCTACATTACAGACATTACTAAACAATTACAAATGCATACAGTGTGATAATAACATACAATCATTTGTCAATCCATGTCTCCCCACGCCGTTTCGGCCATGGGGATTGTTTGACCATATTTCGCCGTGCTGTTTCACTGCACATTGATGAAGAGGAGATATCACTCGCTACTGATGTTAGGTGTGGCCCTGGACTATGGCTCAGAGCGTCGGGTTATAGCGCAGTGAGCTAACCACAGCTACCACCACCCACCCGCCTCCCCCACCACTACACCCCCCACTCACCACAAACATTAACATGGAGCGAAGTAAAGAACGTGTGTCCATTTATAACATTGATTAATCAATTCACGAATACGCGAATTAATGACCGAAGGCGAACGCACACTGATTGAGACCAACGAACCGCCTCGGCGTTGATTAATTACGAATTCAAATGCTGCACATTGCAAAGATGTGTTTATGGATGAATGCATGCGTGCAAGAAATCGCCCATGGACGGATATAACGCGAGCGCGGAATCGAACAGAAGGCGCTGAATGAACCGTGGGGTGAGTTAAGGAAGGCTGCTGCGCTCCATTCCACTGTCGGAGCAGCAGCGGTGCTGCTGCTGCTGAGCGCAGCAGAATCACGCGGCGGTGATTTCCTGCCGCATGCCTTCTCGCTGCTCCCCACACTTGTCATCGTCCTCAGCCACGATCCATCCACTGTTGGATGGAGGCCTCCCCAAGCCCCTGTACACCTCTCGCGACTGATCCCAGCGATTCGATAATCCACCGAGCAAGCAGCACACGAGGCGATGTCATCATCGCTCCGTTCACTCGGGAGATTGTCCTCTCGGACGAGTTCGGTGATGACAACGATGACGATGGACACCACTGCACCCCCGACAGACTGCCCTGCGTCGTGACAGACCTCAATCCCCCCCCCCCCGCCATGTAATTTCGCAGCAGCCGCAGCAACAACAAAAAAAAACTTGTATCCTCCTGCAAGAGACATCACTCCCCAGCTTCCACGTCACGCCATGGAGATCCAGCGAACGAGCGAGGGAGTGAGAGAGGGAGGAGAGGTAGGGGATGTGGGGGGGGGTAGAGAAAGGCACAGAGGGAGAGAGAGAGAGAGATTAAGAGACGAGAAAGGAGATCCTACACCAGTCGCCAGCACCTTGCGCTGGGGGGTGGAGCGAAGATGTCGTTTCTGCAGACGGAGCCGGGGAACGGCTCCCTCTTTGCGGTGGTCCCTTTAAACCGGTCCGTGGCAGGACCTGGTGAGAACACCTCCTCGGCCACCTGGCGCTCCAAGGCAGGGGACATCACCGTGGGCTCCCTGCTGTCGGTCATCGACCTCGTCACTCTCCTGGGCAACCTGGTGGTGTTCGTGTGCCCCGTGCTGGAGAAGCGCCTGCGGACGGTCACCTACATGTTCATCATGTCCCTGGCCACTGCCGACCTCCTGGTCGCCTGCCTGGTGATGCCCTTCAGGTAAGAGTGCGCGCGACGTTCGATTCAGGGTTGTGCCACTGCGTACGCTTCGCTCGCGTGCTGAACTTCTTTCGCGCCGTACGTAGCCAACCCGTGCTGGAGGTGACGGGGGGGTGAACAACAAATTAAACACAACAACAAGCGGTCACACGCATGCACTGGACAATGGGAGATGTTTTTACTGTACCTGACATCGGATTGGTCTTTCACCTTAGTTGACGTGCATTAACAACAAAAAAGTGTGCAGCTGCCCAAGCGTGAGCCGTTCGTTGTAGGGCGACCACGGTGAATGGACATTGGTGCTGGCTTCTCACAGCTCTTACAATGACGCTGGTGCTGTGCCGACCTTAATAGCTGCTTGCTGACAATGCTTCCTGAACTCAAGTATCGCTGTTCCCCGAAAACATGTCCGGTCACAAACGGAGACTGCACCCTGATGTGACAGGAGCACACTTTCCGTCGGTGAATTTGGCAAGTGTCAAGTACTGCAATGTGATGATGTCCTATTTGATTGTTTTCGCTGTACAATATAACACCAGTAATTTATAGCACCATGTCAATTCTCCCCTAGGGCGTGACTGCTGGGAAATCTACCCCAAAAACGCTGACCACCGAGTCAGTCTACATGCAGAGGCGGTTCGATCCCAGTTTGCGGCTTTTCCCATGCTGACGATCAAGTTTCATTCCACCCAGCACTCCCGTCCGATGTGCAGGAGGCATTTAAGTGGTACTGTAACTGGATATTTGGCAAGAGTATCCCTTCGGTGTTGCGATGTTTTGGTGCCACCGTGCAAATTTTGTGAAAAGCCATCTGTGAAAGCTATCTGCATACTTGCAATTGATTCTCTCAGCTTGATTAATGCTTGGAAATTAATTGATGTAGTTGCATTAATAGAGTTTGACGGAATAGACGGCATGTAACACACGTTGGTGCCGGTCCTTCCATTCTAAACGAATTATGAATGCCTTTTTGGTTTTCAGGTACAAGAATAGTACGAGCACACGACATCGGTACAAAATAATGTGTTATCACACTCAGGCAGACGAATGTTCTTGCGCGAGAATCGCAAGCGATAAGGTTTACGAGAAATTGCTTACCTACCGGTAGTGTCCAATTTTGCCCCTCATGAATCAAGCACCGCAATAACAATTGGACACGTGCAACACGAATCAATAATCGGTGTAATTGCCCATACATTAACGTTCAACCTTTGACCTCGAATTGATTTTTTTCCTCTCCAGGATTTCCACCTCTGAGAAAAATATATTGACACAAAACCAATACTTTTACTGGATGGCAACCATGGGACATTGGTTAAGAAAGAGAGACTGGAGGGTGAATTAAAGGCATGGGAGCTATTTAGCACGCATACCATTGTACAGCTGAGATTGGGAAATGTGGGGAAATATTTCCAACTTCACCAAGCAGTGGATTGAGATTGTTGATCGAGTGACTCACCCACCCCATGCAATCCAAAGTGCTGCATTTGCTGCACAAACATTATCAATGTATGTATGTGTAGTGACATGGAATGGGTCACTATGGCGCGTAGCGCTGGTTGCTGGCAGAGAAGGGCATCTGCAGTTGCAGCAGCCCTGTACTGTCTGCAGGTCACGTGATAAGTCAGAGAGAGGGATGTGGGGCAAAGGTGATTGAGGGGGCACGTGAGGTAAAGCCCGGGAACCTTCTAGTTGGTCCTAGAAGTGGGGCGTGGCCGAAGGTCAGAGAGCGAGGCCACGCTGGGTGGATAAAAGGGGACCCTGAGCGAATGTTCGGGGCCGTTGTTGGAGTGGAACCGTCGTGCTGCTGGAGTCTTTGTCACCATCTTCACTTCCTCGGCGTTGTTAATCAGGCAGCCTGTTAGCTGTCCTGACCATAATGTAGTTACTCCTTGTACCTGTGAAGGCTGTAATAAATAGAGTGACTTCTGCTACTAGTGTCTCTTAGTGACTCACTACATATGTCTAACTTATTTCGCACCGTACGTAGCCAACCTCCTTACGTAGGTGTTGGAGAAGGACCAAAATCATATTTAGAAGTGCATAGCTCCAGTGGCTTCCTCATATTGGAAGGAAGAGCGTTCCAGACGGCCGCGGAAGAGCATCTGAATGCGCGCGATGCAGTGACCATCATTGTTCTATGTCCAGCCTATGCATAAACACGTGAATTAATGTTATACAGCAACGGTGCACGTGTGTAGTCTTACAGATGCATACGGGAATTAATGCCTGCATGCAACTGCCAACTTCTAAAATTTGCAATACCCGTACGCGTTTGTCTCTCCATCAGCGAGAGAAAAACATTTTTTACTTGACTTATCACTTTTGAACTCATCCAAATATGTAATCCAACCGAACTGTGTCACAGGCACTGTTTTAAATTTGACACTTAGAAGAAAATAAACAGTCCAGATAATACCATTTAAATATAATGTAAATTATATTTCAGACAATACAATAAAACAAATGAATGTGATATGAAAGATTTTACGAATATGAACATAAATAGGAAGTTTGTAATAAGCTTTTTGCCCATGGTGGTAGTTACTGCCCGTGGTGGATATTGGTCACTTTTGCCATCCCAGGCAGTACTGGCCAACCCCCTTTGCTCATGGGCTATATAACCCAAACTCAAAATTTTCTAAACTGCTAAAAAATAACGATATCAAATAATAAATCTCAGACTCACATTCAGTTAAACAATGTATGCACATATGTAGTATGTAAATAATAATTCAGCCACATATTTAAATGTACGGTGCAAAAGACGTTCAATATACATGCATAGTTGGTGACTTAGATAAGGCTGAATGAACCGTATGTAAAGAGAGGATCCTTAACATTTGTCAGCATCAATAACTGTAACTGACTAATGATGATACACTAAAATATATCGAAACAAGTCCAGAGTTTGCGTGTACTGAACTAATGCTGCTAAAATAATGCATTCTCAGAGAGATGTTTAGGCATATGGGTTGTGTTTGAAATATTTTACCTTTTTTTAGATGGATAGACATTCATATGAAGGAGACATCTGCTTTTTCATTTTGTTATTGACATAGTCCGCAAGAACAGGCGTTATGTATTATAAACACGGCTGAGAGCAATCTAAATGCAATGTGATGGTTACGTGACGTGCAGTGAGTTTGGTCAAATGAAGTTGTATGCCACATATTTAACAGTACACTATTTTGTATGCTGTGTATATTTAAAACAAACATATAAATGGATTACTGGATTTACTGGCGAGTTCAATAACAATTTATTTTCAGCACTTGGAGGGAAAACTTCTGTAAGTGTTGGATATTAAATTCATTTAATGAGGTCCCCAATGTTTTTGTGTTTGAACCATTAAATCTGTTCTGTCGATGAAAAACGTAATGTTTTTTTGTAATGTACTGTATAATTCGGAGTATATACAGTAGTGGAGTGTACCTGTAGGTGACCATTAAAAACCCGAAATATCACTCAAGAATAAATCACTGCATACCTAAGCCATCATGGTGCTTGAATCCATTGGTCCGAAAATGACTTATCAGTACCAACCAGGGTGGCAAATGCCAACAAGGAATTTCTCATAGCATTTTGTCTTTAAATCACACATATGTATGATAGCAAGGTCACTGTGGTTGCTTGTTTCATGATAAAAAAAATGGTTAAAGGGTACAAAAGTATGTTCGATAGATAATACCATAAAAAACCAAATGTTATCTGAAACATCTAAAAAGTATGGAAATACAGAGGAAGTGTGTGTGTAAAAACAGACAGTATTTCTCCTAAGCGTCCTGCCCATTGTAAATACCCCCATGGTGGATATGTCATATACTCTACTGGTAGCTTTTTCCACTCCAGTTAGTACTGAACAACAACCCCTTTGGTGCATGGGCAATAAACAAAACTCCAAATATCAAATTTTCCTGTGGCTAAACTGCAATAACTCTTACAAGTTAAAACATATCTATGCATGTGTATGTATCATGCAAACAATAACACGGCCACATGGTGATCTCTGTCGAGGCGGTGACTTGAACAAAGCTGAGAGCATTGTACACGCAATGTGGTGGTCACATGACATGCAATCAAGGGGTGATGGGAGTCGTGTCTTCCTGATTTTCGTGTGCTCTTGCATTTACAAACAATGTATGCCGGGTTTATCAGAGTTCAATAACAAGTTCTGTTGCACTTTGAGGGACGAAACTTCTCTAAGTGCTGCATATCGGCTGCCTGTTTTAATGAGACTTCCCAATATTCTTGTGCATCTTCTATTAAATCTGTTTTGGTGACCGAAAAGTTGTCTCGTTGGAATGGACAATTAATTCCACAAACTACACGTACAGTGTACTTGTAAAGTGGAAATTAAAGACCTTGCCATTTATTCACACATATAAATCACTGAATGAATATGCAATAGTCCAATTTCCAAAATCTATAACTTGCCTGCTACTATACAAAAAACAAAACTCTCGTACTGACTAATTTTCAGCTTTGTAGATCTCCTTTATAGTGGCAATACATCTTAACAGACTTGCAACAATAAAAAAAAGACATTGATATACAGCTAAAAGGTAAGGTGGCGATGGTAAATAATAAAACTAACGTGGCAGCCAAGGGATGAAATACACCCGCGAGTACTGGATGCACCATTGAGGAGATGGAGTGATGAAATCAGCACGTGTGCAAGTGCAATGCGGAGTAATGCATCGCAGGATTATGAGAGATGGCAGCAGTTTGGGGAGGCTTCCATCCAGCAGTGGATTAACCACAGCCGTTGATTAAGCAGCAATGGCATACGGCACATTAGACAAACGCGCATTGTAGGCGACAGCTCTGGCACTTTGTTAACATAGCGGAGCGGACGCTCTGTGAGGTTCGATCAAATATTGATTTGCGATCTTCCAACCACGATGCATCAGCATCATTTACGAGGTTACAGGACGTTGGATGTTCGGGCGGATCTTCTGCAAGGTGTGGATCTCCTTCGACGTGATGTTCTGCACCGCCTCCATCGTCACGCTCTGCTTCATCAGCCTCGACCGCTACTGCTCCGTCTCGGCGCCCCACCGCTATGTGCGCAGGATGTCCCGCCGACGGTCAGTGCACTCAATCAGTTGTCTCAAAATTCTTCAACGCCAGTGGCGACGGAACAGCCAATGCACAGCTCCCCAATTACATCAGCACGCTCAGTACATGGGCATACGCGGTCGTTTTGCATAGTTTTATTTGCCTGTTGTCGTGCCGACCATTGTGCTGTTTCCCATGATGCCAGATTTTTTGCCACGATTTGAAGAAACTGAAGAAGCTCCCAGCACGTTGAGTGAAACGTTGAACATCGTACCGAGCAACACGCGGTCCAGCCAAAGCACGCATCAGAGAGTTATGTTCAGATGTCACTTCGGTGGGATGCTCTTGACTGGATGACCTAGAAAGCTATACCATGTGTTACTCTGAATACAGATGTTTTTTTATACTTGTGCCACTAAAACTAGCGTGAGGAACCGTTCCTTACTGGGGGTCGAATAGGACTTTCAGATACCTTTGGCTGGCCCCAGATTAGTTGCCATACCAAGATAGTATGCATTCACTGTGCTCAAAATAGCTTAAAAAACAACAGGTGACTGAACGCACTAAAAATTAGAAACAGTGTTGCCAGGAAACAAATATTCCCCTCTAGTACTCAATTAGTGCGGCTAAGATGGCTGCTACGATGGATAAATACGTAAATATAATTTACGTGCTGTTTCTAAATGGTGGGGCTCATGTATGTAAATTGAACTTCTTTCGCACCATACGTAGCCGACCGTGCTAATCGGAGGTGCGGCGGAAGGACAACAAACTAAACACAAAAAGCCGTTCGAAAGACGTGATTTTTCAATCTATATTTAAAAGTGTATAGCTCCAGTGGCATCATAGTGTCGGAAGGGCCATGCAATATCAAATGGAGTCTTGGGTCGTGTATGGCCAGTGGGTTGCACGTTCCCCACCCCTCGACGATAATGACGCTGGTGTTTAAGTTATTTTTTTACACGACTGGCAGGATGCAGAGCAGCTTTTTCCCACCCTTGACGTCACAGGTCGCCCACGTGCAGCCTCACGTTAATGCAACTTGCTGCATGTTCACTTCATATGCTCGGCTCACCAGGCGCTGTCGATGTTATCTGCCTGCCAACACTTCCACTTGAGCCTATTACAGGCTGCAAAACTGAGTTGTCATGGATTTGCAATGCAGCTGAATTAATAAACGATACGAAAGCAGCTATAAAGATCAAAGGTCAAAATGAAAATGAACTTTTTTTTAATTATGAGCAGAGAACCCGTTTCTCCGCAATGGCATAAAACAGGGATTTGCTTAGGGTTCCAATGCCAAATATAATATTTTTAAATCAAAATATTATAAACATTTTGAGATGCAAAAATATCTATAAGCAGTGCCTGTCCACTCTCTATCCCATAATAACCCCCCCCCCCCCCCGATGATCATAAGGTTTATCTCACCTATAGTGAAAACATTTTGATTTAAAGCTTTCGTGACTGCAGGGATTCATATTCTTGGTTCTTTCGGTAAAGTCACTTTACCAAAAGAACCAAGAATATCACCTACAGTGAGGGAAAAAAGTATTTGATCCCCTGCTGATTTTGTACGTTTGCCCACTGACAAATAAATGATCAGTCTATAATTTTAATGGAAGGTTTATTTGAACAGTGAGAGACAGAATAACAACAACAAAATCCAGAAAAACGCATGTCAAAAATGTTATAAATTGATTTGGATTTTTATGAGTGAAATAAGTATTTGACCCCCACTCAATCAGAAAGATTTCTGGCTCCCAGGTGTCCTTTATACAGGTAATGAGCTGATCTCAGCTTGTTACCTGTATAAAAGACACCTGTCCACAGAAGCAATCAATCAGATTCCAAACTCTCCACCATGGCCAAGACCAAAGAGCTCTCCAAGGATGTCAGGGACAAGATTGTAGACCTACACAAGGCTGGAATGGGCTACAAGACCATTGCCAAGCAGCTTGGTGAGAAGGTGACTACAGTTGGTGCTGTTATTCGCAAATGGAAGAAACTTAAAAGAACTGGCAATCTCCCTCGGCCTGGGGCTCCATGCAAGATCTCACCTCGTGGAGTTGCAATGATCATGAGAACGGTGAGGAATCAGCCCAGAACTACACGGGAGGATCATGTCAATGATCTCAAGGCAGCTGGGACCATAGTCACCAAGAAAACAATTGGTAACACACTACGCCGTGAAGGACTGAAATCCTGCAGCGCCCGCAAGGTCCCCCTGCTCAAGAAAGCACATATACATGCCCGTCTGAAGTTTGCCAATGAACATCTGAATGATTCAGAGGACAACTGGGTGAAAGTGTTGTGGTCAGATGAGACCAAAATGGAGCTCTTTCGCATCAACTCAACTCGCCGTGTTTGGAGAAGGAGGAATGCTGCCTATGACCCCAAGAACACCATCCCCACCGTCAAACATGGAAGTGGAAACATTATGCTTTGCGGGTGTTTTTCTGCTAAGGGGACAGGACAACTTCACCACATCAGCCAGGGCATGGGTCGTGGATGGGTATTCCAGCATGACAATGACCCAAAACACACGGCCAAGGCAACAAGGAGTGGCTCAAGAAGAAGCACATTAAGGTCCTGGAGTGGCCTAGCCAGTCTCCAGACCTTAATCCCATAGAAAATCTGTGGAGGGAGCTGAAGGTTCGAGTTGCCAAATGTCAGCCTCGAAACCTTAATGACTTGGAAAAGATCTGCAAAGAGGAGTGGGACAAAATCCCTCCTGAGATGTGTGCAAACCTGGTGCCCAACTACAAGAAACGTCTGACCTCTGTGATTGCCAACAAGGGTTTTGCCACCAAGTACTAAGTCATGTTTTGCAGAGGGGTCAAATACTTATTTCCCTCATTAAAATGCAAATCAATTTATAACATTTTTGACGTGCGTTTTTTCTGGATGTTTTTGTTGTTACTCTGTCTCTCACCGTTCAAATAAACCTACCATTAAAATTATAGACTGATCATTTCTTTGTCAGTGGGCAAACGTCCAAAATCAGCAGGGGATCAAATACTTTTTTTCCTCACTGTATAGTGCTTGAGTTCTAAGCATGTGAGCTGTCAACAGCCAGTGTCGCAGATGACCAGATTACAAAATCAATTACTGAGTTCATTGGAGTGTTTCCCTTTTACCTCTACACAAAAGCTATTTAAAAATTATTTTCCTATCTTACACAACACTTCCCAGCTAAAAGCCAAGGTCACAGATGTTGCACCTCAAATAAACCCGATGAGCAATGCGAGCATTATTGCAGTGGCTGAGTAAGAGATATTTTCGTGACATTACATTAATGCAAAAAAATAAAAATAGCTCAATGGCTTTGTGAATAAGCAGATGGTCAATAGACACTTAAATAACACCATTAATATACAACCTTTTGTCAATTTAAAGCTTTCGTGACTGCAAGGATTCATCTTCTTTGGTTCTTTCGGTAAAGTCACGTATTCTCATTCTACGTGACTTTACCGAAAGAACCAAAGAAGATTAACCTTTTGTCAATTCACTGCTGATTAAAGGAATTCTCACATGGTGTCAGTCATGGGGGTTGTTTGATCATCTTTAGCACAGTGTGAGTTCTTGAAAGTGGGCCCACAGAGACAATTAAGTAGTTTAAATTTAAATCATTCCACTTGTGCCTGACAAAAGAAATAGGATTAAAATTGTCACATGTGAGGTCTTTATTAAGAAGAGGAAGCATTAAGACTGGGGTTATGTGTGACAATTCTTCATTTTTATATAATCAATGAAACCAACATTGATCATGGTAAAGGAATGTCAAATTCCGTTGTCAGGAATATTCTCTAATGAGATGATTACACCCACATAGAGAATCCTTGCAAACGAATTTCCTTCACTAAATTCCGCACCCTTTCCACTCACTGTTGACCTCATAATAAATTACAATAAGTCCTTGCTTTAAGCCTGGGAGTGGGGGGAAAAAAACTATAACACAAAAGGATTGATATGACCCGAGATTTTATTTCATATGGCCTGCCACATTGAAATGTCCTGGACACGATGCGTATCTGTTACTACAGGCATCTTAGTTGCACTATTCTGGTATAAGAGCGGAATAATTTCAACCTAATAACATTTCAGTACACTCAATTACTTGTTACCTCAAGAGCCTCTTGCAGTTACAGAGGAGGGTGAGATATGTGTGTAAACGTGTGTCCTTGCAAAGATATTTGAAAGTCCTTATCAGCCCTCGATTAAGGAAAAGGTTCCCCAATCAATGCTTAAAGCATTGTCCGGAGTTTTCTTGTTGCACACTGAATGTGTGGCTTTGTGTGTGTTCTCTCAGATGCGTAGCCATGACCGCCGCCATCTGGGTGTACTCCTCACTCATCTCCTTCCTGCCAGTCATGCGCGGCTGGAACGAGATTCCCGGCCTGGACTTCGACTCGAGCCGCGAGTGCGTGTTTGTCACGAACCGCACCTTCGCTGTCGTGGCCTCGGCTCTCGCCTTCTACATCCCCTTCCTCGTCATGTGCACCATGTACTTCTTCATCTACCGAGCCTCCAGGCTCAAGGCGGCGCGCATCATGTCGCAGACGCTGGACATCCACTACCACCCCAAGAGCAGGCGTCCCAACAACCTGCAGCTCGAGCACAAGGCCACGCGCACCATGAGCATCATCATCTCGGCGTTCGTCCTGTGCTGGCTGCCGTACTTCTTCTTCAACGTCTTCATTGGCTTCTACTCGAACAACGAAGACTCCGCACACGTCGTGCAAATGGCGTTTAAGGTGATTACCTGGCTGGGCTACTGCAACTCGGCCATCAACCCGATGCTCTACGCATTCCTCAACCGTGACTTCCAGCACGCTCTGCGGAAGATTTTCATCTGCCGCCGACTACGCTCCAAGGTGGACATTGGCGAGGACATGGTCTCCATCGTCACGTACTCAAAAACCGCACTAGAGGCGGACAATGCTGCTGCTGCTGCTGCCAAAGGAATGACCATCATTAAGCAGAAGCAGACATTGTGATTAAAAGGTGTACTTCTGCTTCTAAATAGCAGCTTACGTAAACATAAAGCACATAATTCTTGGTTCTTTCGGTAAAGTCACGTAGAAGGGAAACAATTAAATAATAAAAATATAAAACAATAAAATTCTCACAGTGAGAATCCCTGCAGTCACGAAAGCTTTAAATAAAAAAATAAAGCACATAAGTTAAGCCTGCTTCGATCCACAATGATTCCATCAATCCGAATTCTCAGTGAAGGTCAACTGAACAAAACTTTTACCGGTGTTTTGTGTCCAGAATCATTTTAATTAAATTAATAATTGTGTTTTGTCATAGTCCATGACTGCAATGACAACATTTATCAGTAAAGCCAAACTGTACATATGGAACTATGGTGTTTATTTTGGAAACTTGATTAATCTGGACACTGGAAAGTATGGGTTATTCATATTTCTTATATTCAAGACAATCCATTGGTTGCTGGACATTTAAAGTTTAACGAAATGAGTAACAATGTATCACGTCATTGTGGCTTATGTGGTTGTTTTATGGAACCATATATATATAAATACTGTAAATGTATAATACGTCTCATGTTACGTGAATCAATTGTCCATTATGTGATGTACTTTTAAAATTGTGTCATCTAAAAAAAAATGCACAAATTAAAAAAGTTAATCAAGTCATTGAAGGTGATTGCGTCGCTAAATAGTGGAACAGAATGACATGTCTGGATGCTAATAATGTATAACATACAGTATATCAACAGTGTACTTATAACAGCACTTGTGAAATATTGCATCTCAAATTGAAGAGATTGTGCAATCATGGTGTGAATATACACTTGAAGCTGTACACAATTCAATACGTGATACATACAATACATATTTTAAAAATTGTACCCATAATTGCATACAACTTCATGATAAGTACATTTGAAGAGACATTTTTAGCAAATTTCATTTTTTGTGGCAGATTTTTATTTTTGTGGCTCAACTACAAATCATCCTTTGGGTACCAAATACGAACATTTTGAATTGAAAATGTTTTAAACTAGAAATTAAAAGTAAATATTTGTTGTCACAATGTTGAGCAGCCTAATTATCCAGTTCAAATATTGCTTTGAAAAAAATCAAAACCTCACCATAAAAATGAAGCTTGGAAAACAATGAAAAGTAAAAAACGGTGTCTGCCAAAATTGGAATGTCAACAAGGTGGCACAAATGTTGGCATTAGAAACATCTGGCAGAATCCAACAGATGGAACAGCCACAGGTCAAGCTATTAAAATACGTATACCTTTTGTTAAAGCCCATGTGGACTGCCAAGCTGGAAAACCAATTTCTAGAAAGGTCTACTGAGACTTGAGACATGTCAGGATTTTTAAGGTTCGTAGCTGCAAAAGTGTTATTATCTTCAAGCACAGGTTGTTTGTGGTAAACGCAGTTTTGTTGTAATGGTAATGGATAAATTATAACTTTAAAAAAATGACAGTAAAATTTATATTATAATTACCCATAGGTATGTTTTTTGTGTCCACTAATGCTCATATCTGTTACAAGGCACATTCGTGGATGGAAACAAAACATATCTAAAATAAATAATCCTATATCCAAATCACCTGGAATGCACCTGCTCTTGTCAGATTGGGAAGCAAAGCTGGTTGAGCCTAGAGCTTGGCAGGGAAGGCACCAGGCATGAGACATGTTGTTATATGCGATGTTGAGGAACCATCGAGGCCAGTGGAGAATAATCCATAGTTGTAATGTACTATGCCCCGGCGTCTATGTCACCCTCGTTTACCAACCCACACCGACCATCGTAGTGGAGTATGTTCAACTAATCATCATTACCTGCAAGGCGTAGGGGAGGCCCTTATACAGAAATTGATTGTCAAAAGTGCTATATATGTACGTTCCATGCAATACCTATTATACAATCACAGTTCATGAGGCGGCTGAGAGAAAATTTTATGAACATGGCATCTTAACGATTTTGCTACTGATAGTGAAACAATTATACAATAAAGAATCCCATACATTTCTGAAACTGCAGTGCAAAAAAAAGAACAATACTGCTGCAGTGTTCTGGAGAATGTCTTTCCCTTATCCATCATTTAAAACATATGTTAAGTTTCACAGACAAAAGAGAGCCCTCTTTTTGTTCCCAATTATAACTCTGTTTTCCCTTTGACAATGGCTTAAATAAAAGGTTTGAAATGTTTGCTGAGGTGAGTCATAGCACAGGAAATCATATGAAGAGTCACATCAATGTTGATCCCCAATGCCCTTTTGAGTTTTACTGAACCTGCACTAAAATAATACTATCCCCCAGTCCACAGCTTGCTTCAATTCCCTAGTAACAATATGCATGTTGCCTCTGAGTCACTGGGGTATATTAAAATCGGGCCAAGTTGAACAATCACAAACCATATATGGTGTCCGTTCCATCTGTTACGAAGCCTTCGCGTATACGGGTTCATATTCAGACCAGGGATGAATATTAAGAGCTGTTTACAAAGTGAAATACGGTAATGCATAAATCTAGAAAACGCATTTTACTCAAAATCTGGCTTGTCAGTGGCAGGCTTGTAAGTGGCATATTCGCCACAAATCTTAAGTGGTAGCACTTAGCGTTGTATTTTTTCTTATAAAAGAGGTATGCCAATGATCAATTTAGTGTGAAAAAAACGATCTAGGAAGCGAGATTGGTGATAGTGATTTTTTTTTAATCTGGCAGCAAACGTTTGGTTTTAATTATATAAGTGGCACCTTGTTTCATAAATTGCAGATGAGCAGGCTTTTCAACTTTCAAAGCGCATTCACTTGTGATGTGCTATTGGAACAACGGTGTTCTAGTAATTAGGGTAAAATACATTCTGATTGCAAGTCAGTGTGTGTTGTGATGTACAGATTCGTTCTCTATGGATTTAACATGCCTTTGATACATATGACATTCGTGGAGAACACATGCATTTTACATATTCCACGTGGATGTTTAACAAATTATATTGTTCTATTTCAATGAAATAAAATGTTACAAAATATATTGTTTTCCTCTCTTACAAGACCAATAAACACATGATCAGTCATGTGATTTTTAAATTAATGTTTATTGCCCATCATGGGTTCCAATTACTGTGAATGCACATGGTATTGTTTGCACTTTAACCATGTAAGGGCCCATTTATAATAATTTTCTGTTATCCCATGGAGACCTGGATGGCTGCATATATGCTGCAGTATAAGGGTCAGCAAGTATTTTGTAGGTAATTTTAAAATATACATTTTCCCATCGGATTTGTATTTTTTTTTACCTTATGCAATTTTATTAATGTTGCAGGAAGTCTATTTTAATAAATCACCGTTTATAAACATGTCACCACAAAATAGGGTTTGATGGAAAAGAATAAAACATATATACACACATGAACCTTATGGCGGTACCCCGGGGTACCATAGTACCCCGGCTCTCGCATAATGTCCGTGATGCAGTCATCTTTAGTCCGTTGATGGTCGGCAATCGACTCATCGAGACGAGCGGTACACGATGCACGATTCAAAGTTGATTTTTTCGATAACGGATTTTTGATGTTAATGTTTGGCATTTTGATATCGCAGAGTAGCACCGATTTCGGATTGATTGGTACCCCAGTCGCGGAGTTAATTACACCCCTGGACAAAATGTAAAACCCTTAACGAGTAAAAACTGTGTGAGAGAGTGGTAGCGCAGTGTTTAGTACACTGCGCTATGAACCCAATGACTTGAGTTTAATTGAGAGCCATGAAAAACATACATATTGCATGATAACCGAACCTATCTTAGGCCCAATTTACCAACCCATACAGATTTGTATTGACTAAGGGCGGTGCTATACACGACGTTGCACACGATCTAAAGTTACAGATACTTTTTTGGTTGATTGTAATTCTACAACAGAAAAACAGCCCCAATATAATCACAACATATCGTAATTATTTGCATTTTAGATATTAATATATTGATTCAAATAATCAAGAGAGTGATGAATACGAAACACATTTTTGCTATTCTGACAGAAGAGTACGGTAGATGAAAAACTCCAACACTATTTCGTTGCCAAAGCAAAACGTTTCTGATAAGCGCCTCTTGTAGTTCATGGGACCAGCAGATATTGTACCACCCACCTATGGGAGAAAATCTGAAATAGTACCTATTTATTTAGTTATACGTCTAATAACAATTAATTACTTGGTAACCCACTCATAATAAACGGTTGACACCGAATGCACTGTTGTTGACCACATTAAGAAATTGGACCACTAGAATTATATGCCATCTGAGCTGGTTCCCACAAGGGAAATATCTCGTCTGTACTTATGGCCTATTAGTTCACTTTTCACTGCAAGACTTATCATGGCTTCTGGTCACAATACAGTTGAACTGATATATTTTAAGCCTTTCTGACTAATGTCGAAAGCGTCACAGAATGTGCTCTGTATTTCCCCTTCTGTCTGAAAATGGGGAGGATGACAACTTGCCTAAAGGTGATCCCATAGGAATGAAATGTAATTAAAAAGTTTGGGTTACTTTTGTGGACTTACCCAACAGAAAATTGGCTAAATTGATCCAGCGGATGCCCCAGAAATTGACAACAAATCCAGCGTGACAAAGATTAGCCTTGCCGGCCAGGCCATGTGTGACGTAACCTCCCGCACCTCCCCTCCTCACGTCACTATGTACTATGTTATCTCATCGTGTGGCTTGAAATGCAAAAGATCTCATCACGAATTAAATACCTCTGAAAACAAATGCATTGGTAAGCGTTGGAGAATCCATGTGTATCCATGCTTTTTTTTCTTGTTCAATTTTGCCAACCACTGATCCATTCTTTTCACATTATCTATTCAGTCGTGAAAAAAACAATCATTGGATTGGACAAAACCATCTAGCTACTGTAGTTACATCTTATAGAAGCACTATACTACATGTATGGGTGATCAAACACAAGTCAATTACTTGATGTGCATGTTAACCATTGCACCAATGCCACAACGTGAAGGAAATAAAAGTAAACCCTATTTCACATCGGTTGATTTGCCATTTTACGACCAAAAACCCCCACTGAGAACATCACAGGCACCTTTTTTGCAAGAGTTCAATTCATAGCAGCAGATGTGCACCCTGTTTGCTGGGCACTTGGGATCAGGAGGCATCAAGAATTTATGGCTAACCTTTTGGAAGAGTGTCTGAGCTTATCACAAACAGGACGGCGTTATTGCCTGGGAGCAAACAGTACATACCAGCCATGTGGTGAAATTGTCAACTATTTTGTGAACCGGGCCATTTGTGATTTCTCACGTAAACAATTTGATGTCAGCATTACTTAGTCACGAATTTGTTTGGTTCAAAATGCTTAGTTCAGCAATGCCCTTTGTACATTTCCCTGCATTATGCAGACAAATTTAACATTGGATACGTTTTCACAAAATGCCTTTCAGACCATCGACAATAAACTGTAAAATATATGATCAAAGAAGACAATTTTGGAGGAAAACATGCAATGTAAGTGTACAAAGATGACACAATTTGCTTATAACCATATAGTGTACGTTTTGTTGATTCTGATAACCAAATACAGGGTGCTTCAAATGTTTTTTTTTACACTTCTGAGAATTTGCAACAATGCCACAAGAAATGTGCTGCCTTCGGGGCTCTGGAGACCACCTGGAGAAGATTCCAGGCGTGTGTTGACAATGATGCTGAACAAATGGAGACTTTTTAAAGCTATTAACATTCATTTGTTATCATGTCACAGTGTATTATCACCCGTTCTTTTTACATTAAAAACGATAGTCCCATGTAAATGTTAACATTGTTTGGAAGCACCCCGTATAATCACGTGTGGTTCAACCAAAATAAAGCCCAAATGTTTTTTTTTAAACGACAATATAATCAGCAATCATGATCAATCCACTGCTGAATGAAGGGCTCCTAGAAGCCAATACCGTCTCTCAGGTTTGTGATGCAACATTCACATCGCAACTACACAAGAGCTACTTTCATTGCTCCATCTCCACAGTGCTCTCAAGCATCTTCCTTTCTTAAAAACTAAACTATTTTTTTTATTTTACCAGATAAGGACCACTGAACTATAGAGCTCTTTTTCAGAAGCGACCTGGTCACAAATGGTAGCTCAATGAAGTGACTTGTCAGGTAGAAATGTATAACAGCCAAATACTGGAAACCCATATTTCTACACGTGGAGGGAAAAGAACGGAGGACCTGGAGAAAAAATACACGTGACCATGGGGAGAACATACAAACGCCAAATACACAGGCATCGTTGTTAGTCTAGATCACCAGACATCATCACTTCTAGCAATAAACATGTCCTGCCCAAGCTCCACTTACTTTTCTTGCGGGTAAATGTGGTGACCTCTCACGTGTATATATTCTCTAGCCCATCCATTTCTCTTTCTCTCTCAGTGCCATTCCAAGCATGCGCCTCCCCAAGCGTCTTTGCAATTTTTTTTTTATCGAACTTGACCTACGTACGTACTGTATGTTGAACTTCTTTCACACTGTAGGTAGCCAACCGTGATTATCAGAGGTGCGAAATTGAAAAGCAACATTCCAATAGGCCTAAACGAGAGGCATTTTAACAACCTAGAAAATGGAACATTCCACCCATAAACACACTTATATAAATAATAAACGTTGACCCGTTTCCACCTCAGAGTGAAAAACGATAGCGTTGTGCCTATGGACAATACAGGGTAAGAGACAAAGCAATTACAATGGTTCAAATGAGGCAACCACTGACAATACCATAACTAGATGGTGCATACGGGAAATAGCACTCATAATTGGTGGTCCTTTAATAACCATGCATTCTGTGCATAGCTGCGTTGTAATTAGCATTCCAACTATGTATGCTGAACTGCATGTTGTGGGGGAGTGGTGACACAGTGGTTCGTAAGCTACAAACCACGATGCTGTGAGCACAGATGCTTAAGAGTGGACTCCCGACCGTGGCGAACATCAGAGGCGAGCAAAATCCGAGCCGCAGTCAATAGGCTCCAATCGCGCACAGCGAAAGTGAACGCTATGCAAGAATTCAAAAACAGCACGCTTCAGATAGCAGTGGGTTTGAGAAGTGGAGGTGATGTGGTTGTGTGAAGGACAAGCTTGCCCATTACCAACAGTGTGATGGTACACTCGCATATACAGGGCGTGCAATAGCGGAATTCTGTGAAAAAAATATTTTGTTTTGCAGAAGTACAATCTTGGGAGGTTCTGATGAACCGGTTATACACCTCAGCAGCGTGCAAGAATAGTTGAAATTTATTTCGGAAATAATTGTTCAATTATTTCTCCACTGAGAGACTATCGCAAATATTTAAGACCTGAACGGCTCCAACTCCGCACGGTATTCGGGCCTTTGATTTCCCGATTTCGGGAATTAGAAACAACGGTGGGATGCAAAACGTGTTGGCAGACCTCTAAGCAGTCGATCCCCGACTTATATTGAGCGAGTAAAGGAGAGTGTCAATGAGGACCCCGAAACTTCGACAAGGAGACGCTGCTCCGCTCAATTGGGGATCACACGACGGTTCGCTACGGCGAATCTTGGTACAGGACTTGCATCTTTTTTTTTTCAGATATCATTCAGCTGGTGCAAGAATTGTAGCCCAGAGACCATCAATGCCTCCTAGAGAGTGCTCACGTGCTTTCATTGAACTTGCAGACCAAAGCGATGCTTTCATTACAAATGTTATGTGATGTCAGACGAAGCTCATTTTCACCTTACGGGCTCCGTCAAACAAACAATAATTGCAGATTCTGGGGTTGATACACAATTATATCGAATCTCCATAAAAAAATGTTAAATTATATCATTCAGAGTTCGTGTTTTTATTTAATATTTCAAAAGTTACAAGCAAAACGAATCAGGTAGTCACGTATGACTCCCCCCCCCCCCCCCCCCCCTGTAGAATGCCCTGTTCGTGGTTACAATTTGTTTGTTTTACCGGGTGGCCGGGCGGGGGTCGCAAAATGCTCCTC